AGTCTTTTGTAACAATAAGTACTTTTTAGACACAGGAAGAGGGCTTTTCAGTCCCCATTTCTTCATTTATAGTCTATAACCAACTCAGTAGTGAATAGTTTCAAAGTGGTTGATAAATACAGTTCTCTAGGGACCATGGTCTCAGAGGTCATCTCGCTCAGTTGGAATAACATAGTTCATAAAGATACGTTCTACATTCTACTATGGTGAGTAGCCTCTGGGGTCTTAAAAGCTTGTGAGTGGCCATCTAAAATACATCTATTGGTCCCATCAAGTTTGGAGCAAAGGAAAATGAAGGAAACCAAAGACACAAGGAAAATATTAGTCCAAAGGACTAATAGACTACATGAACCACAGCTTCCATCAGCTTGAGCCCAGAAGAACTAGAGAGTGCCCGGCTACAACCACCAACCACTCTGATAAGGATCACAATAGAGGTTCCCAGACAGAGCAGGAGAAAAATATAGAACAAAATTCAAATTCACAAAAAAAAGACCAGACTTACTGGTCTGACAGAGACTGGAGAAACACCGGAGACTATGACCCCCAGATACCCTGCTAACATAGAACTGCAGCCACTCCCAAATTCCACCCCTCAGCCAAAGATTAGACAGGCCTATAAAACAAACAATAACACATGTGAGGAATGTGTTTCTTAGTTCAATCAAGTATACCAAACCAAATGTGCAACACTTGCCCAAAGGCAAAAAACGAGAAGCAGGAAGGTAAAGGAAAACTGGACAAATGGACACAGAGAACCTGGGGTGGAAACGGCAAGGGGGAGTGTGCTGATACATTGCGGGGATTGCAACCAATGTCACAAAACAATTTGTATATAAATTTTTGAATGAGAAACTAATTTGTGCTGTAAACTTTCACCTAAAACACAATAATTTTTTTTTTTTAATCTGATAGTTCTAGCCCATATGTTCCTTGGGTTTAATTTTTATTTTAAAAGCATTTTATTAATCTTATAAATTATAGCAAAATCAGGAACAAAACCCATCTCTTAACATCCTCTAAGAACAACAGTTAATGTTTACTAATATAATTTTCCAGGATTATTTAAATTAAATGTCTAATTTTGGCATAACTAATTTTTTTTAAAAAGCATAAATATGTATATACCAGAAAATGCCACAGATTTTCGAGATGCACTTTTGTTATCATATCTACAAATGATTGAAAGTGATATTTTGAAAACATTTTTTTTTAAACAGCTCTGTTGAATATCATTGCTGCTGAGCGTTCTGACTCCTCCTTTCTAGCTCTTCAGTGGCCCTCAGAGCCTACTAGATTCCAGAGCTTGATCATCTGTGTGATGAATCCAACTCCAGGGAGTGCTTTCTGAAATGAAGCTATAGATTGTTTGGTGGATAAATAAGCCAAGAAGGGAGGGGAGATGTTATGTCATCCTTTGACAGAGAAATAAATTAAAAAAAAAAAAAGGAAATTAAGATAAAAAGAATAGCACTGGTCCAAGGGGCAGGCACACACAGATTCTATCTTCCCCTCTCCCCCAATTTTTTTTTGTATGAATAAAAAGACTCAAAGAAAGACACACACTAACAAAAAGACATTCAGATACAGAAGAAACATTCACATACAGACTTTGGTGGAATAATGCTCTTATTTTGTTTGTCTTGAAGCTTTTAAACACAAAACCACTGAAACAATTTTAATGTAATGTACTTTTGCCTTAAAAGGGATAAATGGAGCCAGTTCAAGGCCTCTGTCTCATGAGCTAGAGACAATCAAGTTGAAGGCTGAAGATTACCTACCTCTGCCATATGGTACTCATAATTTTGAGCAAAATATCCACTTGGTAACTTGAGGTCTCATATCCTTGGGTCATTTCCAAACAAGCAAGCCAAAGATGAACTCTCCTAAAACAGAAATGAATCCCAAGAATTTTTTTTATGAATCAGGGGTTAGCATTATTTTGTTTCCAGATAGGCAGGATTTAAATATTTTAATAGTTACCACATATTTAAATTATAAATCCACTTTCTCATTTAAAGTTCTTATTTGGTGATGTTCCCATTAAGCTTATCTTTAATGTGTCCAGGGCACTGGGCAATGTAACTTCCACACTCCTCTTTGATTCCCTCCAGATGAGGCCCATTTGACCTTCTTTTGGTTTTCCTGAGCTCCAAGCCTCTGTGGAATTTAAATACTGTGGAGCTAGTTTCTCCTATGCTAGTGGCGCAATGGTTAAGAGCTTGGCTGCTAACCAAAAGGTCGGCAGTTCCAATCCACCAACTCCCCCTTGGAAACGCTACAGGACAGTTCTACTCTGTCCTATAGGGTCACTATGAGTCAAAATCGATGACAGCAATGGGTTTTTTTTGTCGTTGTTGTTTAGTAATCAGTACAGAGGAGTATAGAGGGGTCTCTACCTAGTTTCAGACCTGCCATTGCAGGATGAACTTTTGTTCTACATTGTGTTCTTGGGGACTTTAGAGTGGATGAAGTTATATGGAGATAATTCCTCTTCCACTATAAAGGGCAGCCCAAATGGACAAGAACGGGCAACACAAGGGTTCTCGATTTTTGTCTATTAACAATCTGCTAGAAACTGCGCAAAATTGTGTGAATTTTCACCTCTGTAAAGAGAAAACTTATTCAAATCTATCTTTGCAGGATTTTAGGAAACTTTTCTTTCCTGTAGACAGTAAGAGCTGGAGGGGGAAAAAAAACAAGACTTTGCTGGTTTTGTTTGGCTTTAGCTAAGATCTTGAACATTTCTGTACTTTGGTTTCTCTGTCTATGAAATGGAAACGTAACAGTCCCACCCCTTCCCACCAAACTTGACACTGAATAAACACAGCACTCACAGCTCTTTGGAGGGTGGGGGTTAGAACAAATCAGTGCAAATAACTGAGGCATTCAACAAGGACAATAATAACAATAATAATGAGCATTTGAATTTGCAGTGTTTAACAGCTTATAAATTTTTCAAAAAAATATTATTTCATTTATCCTCATAATAAGGTGTGAAATAGGGAGAACATTTTTAAATTTCATTTTACAGATGGAGAAATTGAGACCCAGATAAGGAAAGCGACTTGCCCCAAATCAAACAGCTAATTAGTATTAGGACAAGTCTCCTGACAGGAAGTCTAGCACTCATTCCAGGGTTGTTATTGTTAGCTGCTGTCCAGTGGATTCCAACTAATGGCCACCCCACCTGTTACAAAGAACTACTCTATAGGATTTTCTTGGCTGTAATCTTAATGGAAGCAGATCACAAGGCCTATCTTCCTCAGTATTGCTGGGCAGGTTCCATCTGCTAACCTTTAGGTTAGCAGCTGAATACAAACTATTTGTGCCACCTAGGGGCCTCATTCCAGGGTACCAAACTGTATATGTACTGCCTACTTTCTTCTTATTCCTTTCCTCCTCCAAGTGAAGCTAATTAGCGATCACAAACCCTCTCATTTATAGTTCTCATTTATAGTTCAGTCTATCAATTGTCATAAAGAGCTTAAATCTGCCATGCTCTGTGAACTCTAGGTCTACTGAACCTCGGAATCATCTGATCTGTAAACGTTCATTTTGAATACACTATTTATAAATTTTGCTATTTCTCCTTATCACCACTTCTTAACTGAGCCTCAGATCAGTTCCTTGGGTCTTTCTTTATAAAATACACTATCTTTGTCAATAGTTTCTGCTCATCTGTGGGATTTTTATGGTGTTCCTCATTGTGGTAGCTATTGTGGAAATCATAACACACATAAGTATTTTTAAGGTGAATTCTTTCCAGTAAGAGTCTGCTAAGCCTTTGTATTCAGAGAGGATGTGAGAGCAGGCCAAGGTAATTTAAAATAGCAAATAAGAGTTCACTCTCTTTCATTTCTTATTGTTTACTTCCTTTATCAATGTTATTTATGTTGTTTTTCTCAAATTCTTAAAGAATAAACCAAGCTGACAAAAAATTTTTTTCCCTTTGTCTGACTTCTTTCAATGTGTCTTCTTCAGGCCATACCTCAGACTTAGAATGGCAGGAGTTCATCATGTCTGTTGTGTATCCTGGTATGAATAATCCCACTGAATATGACCACCCCAAAAACATGCTGAGCCACAGGACCAGGGCCCCCCTTTCCTCTGGAAGTCAGAAGAAGAAGAGACCCATAGGAAGGGAGAATCGGAGGAATGATTTACAAATAAAGTTAATTCTGTCTTATCTCAATCCCCCAGAACCTGAGCAATATACCTAGGTACTGTCTGTGCCAAGCACAGCTTCAGCCCCAGAGAGGAGAGGAAGTGTAAAGAAAGGAAGGCATATGCCATTCCAGAGCTGCCATGTTCTGTGATTCTAGTCCCCAGACTAACTCTGGGTAGTAGGGATGACAAATGTTATTCAACACACGTATACTAAGCACCAACTATGTGCTCTGTGTTGGGGCTGAGGCACACATTCAGTTGCATGATCTCATCTAACCCTTACCACTCGACAGGTAGGCATTGTTTATCTCCATTTTACAGATAAGGGAACTAAGGGGGAGGGTAAATGACTTATGTCAAAGTCATACAGACAACAAGTAGTGATGCTCTAATTAGAACCTAACTCCAAATATGGTACTCTGGCCTCCACAGCACAACCCCTGCCTGTATGACTTTTACAGTCCATTGGAACAGGTGGGTGTATATCCAGATGACTGTGAATTAAAAGACAGAAGGCGATGGTGATGGAAACTTATGTTTGGGCTGCCCTATACAGTTAAAAGGATGTAGTCACAGTCCATGTTTCACTGGTTCTAAAGGCTATACTGATGGGACAAATAAAGCACCCTGAAATGAGAGGAGTGCAAGGATACAGAGAAACCCTCTGGCTAATTTAAGATGACTTAACTTTAAGTGTTAACATCTGGATATCTAGCTATTGCTCCCAGGGACACCACTTGACCTATAGCATCCAAATTTTTTAAAATTTGCATTAATCTTCTGAGTTCTGTTTAATTTTTTAGCGTTTCCAGAGTATACTCAAGGCATCCATGTATCCATCAAGCATAGACAGAGATCAAAGAAGATTAAACTCTACTGATTACTCATTGGAAGCCTCAGAACAAAGTGCTTCCCAAAAACTAATTGCCAAAATATCCACCCATAACACATGTGAGCTTAGAAAAGCTCCTCTTAACAACACTGACATAACGGAACTTTCCTTAAGCTATCCAGCGTCTAACAAAACCAATGCAAAGAGCAACAACTCTGCATTTTTCTACTTGAATCCTGTCAACCCCCTTCTCTAGCATTACTTCTATTACTCATAGTCTATACTGTGGTCTTAATTGTGGGCCTTTTAGGAAACTTCTCCCTTATCATCACCATCTTTAAGCAGCAGAGAGAAACTCAGAATGTCACCAATATACTGATTGCTAATCTCTCCCTCTCTGACATCTTGGTGCGCGTCATGTGCATTCCTTTTACTGTCATCTACACTCTGATGGACCACTGGATATTTGGGGATTCCATGTGCAAACTGACCTCCTGTGTGCAGAGCGTCTTCATCCCTGGGTCAATATTCTCACTTGTGTTAACTGGTGTTGAAAGATACCAGCTGATTGTGCATCCCCGTGGCTGGAAGCCCCATGTATCTCATGCCTACTGGGGCATCACACTGATTTGGCTGTTTTCCCTTTTGTTGTCCGTTCCCTTTTTCCTGTCCTACCACCTCACTGATGAGCCCTTCTGCAACCTCTCTCTCCCCACTGACCTCTACACCCACCGGGTGGTTTGTGTAGAGAATTGGCCCTCCAAAATGAACCAGCTCCTCTTAACCTCCTCCATGTTTATGCTACAGTATTGTGTTCCTCTGGGTTTCATCTTCATCTGCTACCTGAAGATTGTTATCTGCCTCTGTAGAAAAAATGGGATGGTAGACGGGAAGAGGATAACTGAGACTCGGCTCAGTGAGAACAAGAGGATTAACACAATGTTGATTTCCATCATGGTGACCACGGGGGTGTGCTGGCTGCCCTTGAACATCTTCAATGTCATCTTTGACTGGTATCATGAAGTGCTGATGAGCTGCCACCGTAACCTGGTATTTGTAGGTTGTCACTTAGTTGCTGTGGTTTCTACATGTATAAACCCTCTTTTTTATGGCTTTCTCAACAAAAATTTCCAGAAGGACCTGGTGGTGCTTATTCACCACTGCTGGTGCTTTACAACTCGGGAGAGTTATAAAAATATTGCCATCTCCACTATGCACACAGATGAATCCAAGGGATCTTTAAGACTGATTCACACACCAACAGGTATATAATAATTGATGACACTTAATGCTTAAGCTGGTCTTGAATGGTGGCTGGGGATGGGAAAAGTTACAGAAAGAAGAAAAAAGAATCAAAAAACAGCAACTATATACTACCCAGTTTTAGTTTAGGCCAGGCCTGTGTTTCTCAACTATTTGTCTCCACACCTACACACACACACACACACACACACACACACCATCTCCTCCTTTCTTAAGAGGATAACTCTAAGAACTCAAGTCTTCGCTTATTTGTGGCAAAGAATGTGAGAAAGCAGGTCAGGGAGTGGCCCCAAATAGCACTGATGGCTGGGAAACAAAGTCCTCAGATCCTGTTATTCAATGGACAATCCACAAAAGTTAATATTAACGATATGCCTAGTAAAAATAATTCTGTACCTCACAGTATTGCAGTGATTCCACTTTCAGATATGAAACCTGTAACTTTCAACCATGTATTCAATTAATTAGCAAAGCTAGAAAGGTTCCCATCATAATTTATTATTTGGTTAACAAACTGATTAAGTTTGGGTTGGATGCTGAAGTCGTGGTTTTAATTTAACATTTAAACTAAGCATTGTAACTATGGAGCCCTGATGGCGCAGTGGTTAAGAACTCAGTCAGCTGCTAACCATAAATGTTAACAGTTGGAATCCACCAGCTGCTGCTTGGAAATCCTATGGGGCAGTTCTACTCTGTCCTATAGGGTTGCTATCAGTCGGAAGCAACCTGATGGCAACAGGTTTTTTATTGTAATTATAATTAATCCCCATGCCTGAATCAGACTATTCAGTTTAAAGTAACAGTACATTTTCTTCACTGGCAATGCTATTATCATTGCTAGAACTCGCTAAAAACACTTCAGCACTCCAGTTAGGCTAGAAGTCACTTCAAGTAACTTATTAATAGCCAATATAGCTGAAGCTTTCATTAAAAAAACAACTTTTTATTCCTAATTAGGTGCACTAAGTGGGGGTCATTACGACTCTATCATTGAATCTGAGGGACCTATCAGTAGCACTTCTATAATTAGCTCCAGGGTTTTTTTTTTTAAACCTCTTGTATATCTTATAACTTAAACATTTAAAAAGTATCCCTCATCCCCACAGAGTCACTTAGGTTGGAGAATTAACTAGATTATTTTCAAAAAAGGATTCTAAGCTCCTGTTCAAATAGCCATTAGCTCAGTGACTTTTACTAAATCATGATTAGATTTATCTTTTTCTTGAGCAAATCTCCTTTATTCTTATTAGTTTGAAGTACAGCTTATTCGTATGTTAAAAGTGTAACTGTATCTTCTTATTTCTCTTGAATAAAAGGTAATGTTTCTCTGAATACCTGTGATTTTTCTGTTGTGCTTTTCTCTTGCACATTAGCCTTCATGTTTTCCCCTCCTGAAATCTTTTCTCTCTCTCAGCTCTCTCTCTCCTTCTTTTCAGGATTTCTATTATATTGGGATAAATGAACAACAAAAGCACCACAGGACACTCAAATGAAATAAAGAGTAACGGCCTCACAGTATTTGCTTCAAATAAAAGCTCTTGTCTAAAACCCATCTTCAAATGATGTCAGCTTAGAATCTTGAAGGGACAGGGCTACAACCCCCTAGCCCAGGGAACCATCACATTCTCCACTAGATACTCCTTTCTATCTGTTCTGACAGTGGTTAGTCCTAAAATACTACAAGTCCTATAATTCAGATCCAACATGATATTTTATTTACTTGGTAAAGATATATTGATTCTAGTTTCCAAAACCAAAATGATTCCGATCAAACTACTGAAAGCAGGAAAGAACATCAAACTCTGATATCGCCCCCTTCCTCCCCCACTCTACCATACATATGCCCAATATTCTCTAGCCCCCACCCTAAGCATTCAGAAGAGCTCTCCAACATACAGTTAAATACTATGGTGTTCTTTCTGGAAATAGGAGCTACTTCCATTTCCTATAAAATTGTTTTGTCTTTTAAACTTTTCTTAAACTCTAATGACACATCACTAATTATTCAACTGTCAATAATAGTTTTTCTTATGTTTACTTTTACCTCAAAAAAGTAGTGAATTAAACGTATATTTTAATGCATGCCTCTACCCTTAAGGGGCAGGAGACCCTGCTTCCTTCTGATAGGCAGGAGAACACAAATCCACAAGTAGCTGCTTAAGAAGGTATAATGGGAGTATATAAATCAAGGGTTGTAGGGACCCAGAGGACTAAAACTCATATGTAAGAGGAAACTTGGAAAGATTTCACGAAAATCAACCTTCTTTTCTCTGTTTTTTCAGTATTTAGGGATGGTTCGCACCAACCTGGTCCACTGTTGAACCACTGGCAGAATGAAATAGGGCCTCATCTTCTTAGTTGCCTCTCCCCAGTTGCCAGATGGGACTGTATTCTCCCTTTTTAGCAATCTGCCTGAGACTGAAACTTCCTGATGTTTGCCAGATGTTCCTGAAAACACAGATTCCTCTAACCAGTGCTTCAAAGATCTGCTCTTCTATCCCCTGCATTCGAATCTCTTTGGGTTAAGAGTAATTTCTCATGTCTTTAAAAGTTTCCAGAAAAGAATTCTATTAATGGGATGAATAAGTGTTTATCTATTCCCTCAAAGAATTAGTAAATTAACTATTCTGAACGTATCTGTTCAGTGATCCAGAGCTAAATGAGAAAATGCTAAAACTTTTTTTTTTCCTCTGCCTACTCCTAAAAAGGTCTGCCAGAAGTAATTCCCAGACAATTTCTAACAGAGAGAATCAGCAACACAAATGATTCAAAATAAACAATACCCAAATGTGGTTTAAATTTGTATGGGACATATTTTTCTTCAATGGAATATGTGATATTCTGAAAACAATATAAATAACTGATGAAGCAGCAATGTGTGAAGCTTCAACTTAAAAAGGAGATGAGAAGTTGTCTACCTTTTATGTTATGCTCCCTACTCTATACTGAGGATGAACAGCATCCTCTGTCAGTCTAATGAAATCATCGCCTCCTCCTGTAAGCTTTGTTTTTTTGTAAAATAATAAATCAAGAAAAATACATAAGCACTTACTTCGCACTGTGTTAGGTGTAGAAAAAATGTAAGACACAGCTTTAAACAGTTTGCAATATACCAGATGGGTAATTTAATGCCTTGGTTTTGCCCTTCTGGCTGGGTTGAACGCAGGGCTTTGCACCAGTTTGTTCCAGTTTGAACACCTGCTGAGAAGTTATACTTCTACCCCAGATGTACTGAATCTGAATCTACATTTTAACAAGATCCCCAAGTGATTCTTACGTATAATAAATTTTGAGAACCACTGCTCTCAAAGCGGCTGCAACAGTATGTCAACAGAGAGCCTCCAGAAACACAAGCCGAATTCAGAAGAGGACGTGGAACCTGGAATATCATTGCTGATGACAGATGAATCTTGGCTGAAAGCAGAGAATACCAGAAAGATATTTACCTGTGTTTTATTGACTATGCAAAGGCATTGGACTGTGTGGATTTTAACAAATTATGGATAACATTGCGAAGAATGGGAATTCCAGAACACTTAATTGTGCTCATGAGGAACCTGTACATAGATCAAGAGGCAGTTGTTCGGACAGAACAAGGGGATGCTGCGTGGTTTAAAGTTAGGAAAGGTGTGCGTCAGGGTTGCATCCTTTCACCATACCTATTCAATCTGTATTCTGAGCAAATAGTCTGAGAAGCTGGATATGAAGAAGAACGAGGCATCGGGATTGGAGGAATTATGCAGATGACACAACCTTGCTTGCTGAAAGTGAAGAGGACTTGAAGCACTTACTGATGAAGATCAAAGACCACAGCCTTCAGTGTGGATTACACCCTAACATAAAGAAAACAAAGATCCTCACAACTGGACCAATAAGCAACATCACGATAAATGGGAAAAGACTGCGGTTGTAAAGGATTTCACTTTACTTGGACCCACAATCAACACCGATGGAAGCAGCAGTCAAGAAATCAAAAGATGCATTGCATTAGGCAAATCTGCTGCAAAAGACCTCTTTAGAGTGTTAAAAAGCAAAGATGTCACCATGAAGACTAAGACGCGCCTGACCCAAGCCCTGGTATTTTCAATTGCATCATATGCATGCAAAAGCTAGACAATGAATAAGGAAGACCCAAAGAAGAATTGACGCCTTTGAATTGTGGTGTTGGTGAAGAATATTGAATATACCATGGACTGCCAAAAGAACGAACAAATCTGTCTTGGAAAAAGTACAGTGAGAATGCTCCTTAGAAGCAAGGATGGCGAGACTATGTCTTACATACTTTGGACACGTTGTCAGGAGGGATCAGTCCCTGGAAAAGGAAATCATGCTTGGTAAAGTAGAGCGTCAGCGAAAAAGAAGAAGACCCTCAAAGAGATGGATTGACACAGTGACTACAATAATGGGCTCAAGCTTAACAATGATTGTGAGCAGGGCGCAGGACCGGGCAGTGTTTCGTTCTGTGGTGCATACGATGGCTATGAGTTGGAAATGACTCGACTCAACGGCACCTAACAACAACAACTGCTCTACTAGTGGTTTTCAGAATTGGTCCCTAACCAGCAGCATTAACATTGCCTGGAAACTTGTTAGAGATGCAAATTCTCAGCAAGGGTTCGAATTGGAACAAATCAGTTTGAAGCCCAGGTTGAACACTACCTAAAAGAAAATTAAGAGTAGCTGAAGAAAGAGTTAATTTCAAATCTGTTCTATTAATTATCAAATGAGAGTATAAAAGCATAATCCTAATTAGACAGAGATTATATT